CAACTGAGTTCAGAAAACTGGTTTTGTAACCAAACACATGTTGTCAGACTAAAAAATCCATGGTTAAAGTGCTCTAAAACTACCTGTAAACTCAAGTCCACATCTGAGAAAGCAATGTAAACATATTCATTTTCTATGCTGTTCACTGTAAACTATTAACTGTCGAATTGTAGTTGGCCGTATGCATGAACTGGACAAAATGACAAACACCTAAACTAAATCTAGACTAACCCATGATCAAACACAAGTTTACACTTTAGAGCATCAAGGTATGTGAATTGATGTTCACATTTTAAATCACTTTTTAAAATCACATTACAGGTAAATACACATTAAATGCATTTATTTTTTGCACTTTATTTTTACAGTGTCCTTACAATGTTAACAACTTGTACTTACGATATAATTAAGTTTAGTGTTTGGCTTAGGGTTAGTTGCAGATAATTATGCATAATTTACTGCTTTTACTATAGTAAGTATATGTAACGGGTAACAATGGACACTGAAATAAAGTGTTACCCATTTAATTTTAGGCTGTATAAAACAAACAAGCTGGTCCAGAACCTTGATTTATTTTTATTTAAAAAAAAAATGTTTTTTTTAAAAATGTTTTTATGCTATGAACAAAATGTAGGGGACAAATGCACACTTATATAAACACTCTTCTTGACAGTTTCACCTGTGTATGCGAAGGCATGGTACATGTGTGGTACATTAGTGCATAATAAAGTACAATTACATTGTAAGTAAAATATGATCTGATGTGCCGAAATGCGACAGTAAAGCAGAGTTTAAATACACACAAGGCGATGTTAAGTAGATCACTTGGGTATTCTTGGCAAATGTAAGTGGTAGTCAGATTTTAACACATGCTGGTATATGACAGGATGCCTGCGGGCCTGTAGATTCTAATGTAAACATTATTACAGTGTCTGTGGAATTCAGCCTTTAATCCTGAGGCGAAAGCCATAACTGCTGAACAGAGTGCAGAAACAAAGAAAACATAAGGAGGCAGAGTGAGAGCGAGGCCGAGAGAAGGGCCCCTGTGGTTCTGGGGTCACGGCAATTTAATAGGGAAATGCTGATGCTGTCATTTTTAGCACACTACATGAGGTTCTGTCTGAACTGTTGGCAGGGATTGGGGAATGTCTGCTAAAGTCAATTTCATGTGCTGTGAATAATTTTAACCTCTACTACAACAAAAAACTAAATTACCCTTAATTCTGTCTGGCAGAAAAAGTAGCTTGTGTAGTCTGTTATGATGGTTAGTTGTTTATTTTATGACTTTATTTTAGTTGTTTATTTTCACTGCAATTTCCTATTGTCATTTGAAGGTTTGATAGAGAATTTTTTTTGATGAGATTTTGTGATCATTTGTATATTTTTCTAGTGAATCCTTCAGCCATTATTCTAGAAAGATGAGGGTGGTTGCTAGAGCATTGATAAGACATTTTTGGTTGATGGTGGAGTTATTGGTCCAATTCAAAGAAACTCAACAAGACTTTTTTCACCTGTTTTATCATTCACCAGGTGAAAACTAACTGGGCTTAACGCGAAAGATTTTGTCTACTGGCCCGGTCAGGCCAGGTCGGGCCAGTGGTTAAATTCTTGCTTGCCCTTTTACTTTGCTTTACTTGCAAAGTAACATTTAACATTTTCATTGTCCCTGCCACAAAACAATTGAATATTTATTGTTTTTGTTGTTTTTGACCCATGTTATTTATCTTGTATTTTAATAAATAAGCTTACAGTATGACACCAACATTTTAGATACCAGTTACATTTTACAGTTCTCGCTTCCAATTACCACAGCAAAAACTACTAGCCTAAACAAGACAAGTGGACAGTCAGAACTAAAATAAGAACAAATAAACAAATGACAAGCAACAGCACAAATAAATATAGAACAGAATCACTATAAGACATACTGCATGGATCCAATATAATAATACATATCCGATTTCTTTCTCAACTCTTTGTGTTCCCTTAAAGGTGTCCAATTATGCTCTTTTACAAAGTCTTGATTTTGTTTTGGGGGTGTACTAGAACAGGCTCTCATACTAGGTTGTTCGAAAAACACATTATTTTTCACATATTTTACATTATTACAACACCTCTCTCCCCAGTCTGGCATGAATGGTTCGAATAGTTCCTGTATCAAATGAAGGCCCGCCTTCTGAAATACGAAATGTGCTGTTATTGGTTAGCTGGGCCAGTGTGTGTTGTGATTGGGCACCACTCGGCGGCTGGTCGTGAAATGTCATGCCCCTTACCATAGCCAGCTTCAGTGTAAATATTGCGTCAAAATCAAATCAATTTGAGTGCGATTTTCTACCCGGATGATTGTAAACACTCTAAGTTCGTCTGCCTTGGGAAAGCTAGCGTGTCTCTGACATAGTGATAACACTCGTTGCTTTCTATAGTGCAGCTCAACCAGGTCTCGTCCCATTCGCCGATATTTGTGATATCACAAATCCCGGAAAATATGCGTTGTAGTCCAAACGAGTCATTAGTTGTAGTTTTTGAAAAGTGATTTCTGTTAAATAAAATATCTCCTTTTGAAGTGGACTTTGAGCTTTGTAGCTTTGCAGATCGTTTTTATGCTCAAACAACAACATTACAGACTAACTAAAGTTAAAAAAGTGAAAAAGCATAATAGGACCCCTTTAAGACATAAGCTACTGTTTACTGCATTTTATCTTAATTTTGTATGTATTTGTTCATTCAAGCCCAAGAAGATATGAAAGAGAACTCCATTCGGGGCTCTCACACTGTCTGAGACACGACACGTCTTTCATTCTGGCCCCAGGCCATCGGGCAGTTCTTATCGTTGATCCCTGCTGTAAGTCTGGTTTGAATGGTAAGCAGCACGTGTGTGCATTCAAGTCAATGTAATAGCCTAATAAACTTCATATTAAAATAGCCAATTAAAGGAAGATAGCATTGCAAACCAAAATAAGGGTCCATTTATTAGCCCCGCCCACTTTCCTGTATCACCAAAGAATCACATCTCTTGGCAACTTCTTCCATCGGAATGCTTTACAGAATCATAATTGTGGTCAAACCACAATCACATGTGGAGAAAATCACTTACATCATTTATGATGGGAAACATTTGCTGAAACTGACACATTGTTGTTGCTTTATAAAAATGTTATTTCACTCAAGAAAGTGTTTTTTAATTTACTGTGAATGTTTCTCTTTGTGATCTTGGGGTGGATTTTATTTTATTTTTTACACAAAATGGGCTATAGTTTGTTTCTGATATATTTCGACAGTTCAGCATGTGAAAACGATCCTCAAAATGTAAGTCCTCATCGTGTGAACCATTTGGGTGGAGAGTGTGAAAAGACGTCCATGGACTTTCCCCACCTGACCTCAGAGCCTCTGTTACTTCTATTGCTCAATCAGTCAGATGGGGAAACAAGGGTGTTCTGAGGCTACACTGCACAAGCCAATGCTTGAATCCAGAAAGTAAAGGAATTTAAACAACTGACTGGTCTGAAATTGTGTTTTATCAGAGTAACTAAAGATAATGACGCTAACTTATCTACATTTTTCAGTAGTTTTTTCTGCAGCAGGCTACTAGTTTTGTCATTGCTGTCTTACATCACATTGTTTGCAAATGTTTTTTTTAACCTCTGCTACAACAAAAACCTAAAAACTAAATTACCCGTCTGTCAGGCAGAAAAATGTCTGTTATGATGATTTTTTTTTTAATGACTTTATTTTAGTTGTTTATTTCCACTGCAATTTCGATATATTTCGACAGTTCAGCATTTGAAAACAAATCTTAAAATACAAGTCCTCAACTTGTGAACCGCTTGGGTGGAAAGTGTGAAAAGATGTCCATGGATTTTCCAACGGTACAGTGACAGTGCGGGTGGTCCCACAGGAGCGGTGGTATTATTTTATAAAATGTATATATATATATTTTTTATAAAAAATATCCATCATAATTAAACTAGAGGTCAATCCACTTTTTTTTCCATTTCAGTATCATGCTTCACTAAGAATGTCCTCTCTATTATTAAAGAAGTGTGCAGAGATCTGTGTTAATATAAAGGATTAAATATGTTCCATTAATGTCTGACAGTTAGACAATCAACTATTTTTACAGTACAATATTTTTTAAATTATAATTTACAGTAAAACCTAACTGTTTGTGAAGTATAAAGGTGTGCTTGACTTTATTTTTTTAAAATAAAATAAATGGAGCTGCAATTACATTCATATATTTTAACTGTGGATCTTTATGCTTGTGTTTGTAGATCTAGGTTTATTTTTATTTTTTTTGTATCTTTTTAAAATGTGACCCTGGACCACAAAACCAGTCATAAGGGTCAATTTTGTGAAATTTAGATTTCTACATCAACGGAAAGCTTATTTATTCAGCTTTCAGATGATGTATGGTTTGTTCGGATAGGACAATATTTGGCCGAGATACAACTATTTGAAAATCTGGAATCTGAGGGTGCAAAAAAATCTAAATACTGAGAAAATCGCCTTTAAAGTTGTTCAAATGAAGTTCTTAGCAATGCATATTACTAATCAAAAATTAAATTTTCATATATTTACAGTAGGAAATTTACAAAATATCTTCATGGAACATGATCTTTACTTAATATCCTAATGATTTTTGGCATAAAAGAAAAATGGATAATTTTGACCCATACAATGTTTTTTTTTGGCTATTGCTAAAAATATACCCAAGTGACTTAAGACTGGTTTTGTGGTCCAGGGTCACACATGATCTTTCACACCAACAGACACCCATATGTCTCCAAGCACAAGTCTATGAGTTTTACCGCAGAAAACACATTTGCACACACATACACATTTACAAGCCCTTTTAAAGGCCTGGGTCTACAGAGTTAAAAATCATGTGCCTAAGTCAAATAAAAGTGACTACACTAAGTGAAATCCTTGACACGCTGGTGTGCAACATGAATTTAAATTAATTTTCCCTCTCTTTCCCTCCTCTTCTCCCCTCTCTATAGGAACTGAGCTATATCTGCTCTGCATGAAGTCTGTGTGCTGCTGGTTTAGAACGTTGTCACAATAACTCTGACTGCGGCAGGTGGGAGCTCAGGGGTCAGGTAATGGTGACATTGGGTCGTTGTATACCAAAACACACACACACACACTCTCACATGCACGCTCACGTTAAGTCTATAGCGAGATGTTAGCTACGGAAAATTCCATTACCCTCGGAAGGAGGCTGATTATGACTCCTTGTTTAAACACTCTGCCTGAATGTTTTTGCCCACTGTGGACACTGGGGTCTTTGAGAGAATGGGAATGGACTGCTTCCATCCTGTCTAGCTTTACAGTTTGTTCACTGCAAAAATCAGTTTTAATGATCATTTTTGTTGAATGAAAATATCTAAACATCACTGAAACTTACTTTACTCAAGAAGCAAAATTGTGTAAAGCCGGGCTCACACACAGTGCGATTTAAAAAAAAATTGTTTTTTTAAAATCCTTTAGGATTATACACACCCATATGTCTCCAAGCACAAGTCTATGAGTTTTACCGCAGAAAACACATTTGCACACACATACACATTTACAAGCCCTTTTAAAGGCCTGGGTCTACAGAGTTAAAAATCATGTGCCTAAGTCAAATAAAAGTGACTACACTAAGTGAAATCCTTGACACGCTGGTGTGCAACATGAATTTAAATTAATTTTCCCTCTCTTTCCCTCCTCTTCTCCCCTCTCTATAGGAACTGAGCTATATCTGCTCTGCATGAAGTCTGTGTGCTGCTGGTTTAGAACGTTGTCACAATAACTCTGACTGCGGCAGGTGGGAGCTCAGGGGTCAGGTAATGGTGACATTGGGTCGTTGTATACCAAAACACACACACACACACACACACACACACACTCTCACATGCATGCTCACGTTAAGTCTATAGCGAGATGTTAGCTACGGAAAATTCCATTACCCTCGGAAGGAGGCTGATTATGACTCCTTGTTTAAACACTCTGCCTGAATGTTTTTGCCCACTGTGGACACTGGGGTCTTTGAGAGAATGGGAATGGACTACTTCCATCCTGTCTAGCTTTACAGTTTGTTCACTGCAAAAATCAGTTTTAATGATCATTTTTGTTGAATGAAAATATCTAAACATCACTGAAACTTACTTTACTCAAGAAGCAAAATTGTGTAAAGCCGGGCTCACACACAGTGCGATTTAAAAAAAATTTTTTTTTTTAAATCCTTTAGGATTATACTTGTCAGACTGTACGAACATGATGATCATGTCACACTGTGGGATCTCAGTTGTCATTAATGTCAGACTGTACGACAGTCAAGACGCGTTAAAAATGGGTCATGTTATGTTGGCTATTATTAAAAGTATATGAATGGCGGCAATACCGGCGTATTTAAGAAGAATAGTGCAAGCAGCACTACACACCCACATGAAAACAGCAAATCATAGCAAAGGCAAAGAATCATGAATTCCGTGAGCGGAGGACGGGAGCGCCGGATTTTATGCGGTTAGAAGAAATCTCTAGCATTAATTCTGATCATGGCTTGTCTTGAAAAACGAAGACAGTTTGACGTTCGTCGTAGGAGATGTCACGTTGCAGGACTGTGCGCCAAATCTTCTGACACTGCCAGAAGTTCGTCGGAGGTCAAATTTGATCACAACGGCCATTAATCGGCTGTCGGTGAACATGTCAAACTAATGATCAGAGACTACAGATTTTAGCCTAGGATTATAGGAATCTTTTAGGATTTTCAAAATTTGTCTCAGACGACCAAATAGTGGCCAAAATCGCACTGTGTGAGTCAGGCTTAAGGTAATAAGACTTTAAAAATGCTTTCTGACAACATATTTTTTAATTGTTGAATATTATTTCTATTTTTAAACACAAACCTTACTGTTTTGATTAAAATTTAATTTATGCTCCAATTGACCGTTCGCAAGGGTTTGATTGACAGGTGATCGCCATTTTATCCAACAAACAAACCAGACAGGAGAGTTAGTAGATTAACGTCAGGAGAGTTGAACTTGAAAAATGGTGTATTGACATCTTTCTGCAGTTGAGACAACATACTTTCTGATATTCATGCATGTTTATTTCGTGCTGTAACTATTAGGAAGAGATCGGTTCACATGCTGCTTGAATCTGCACGATGCATTAAAGAGGCACAAAACAGTATTTACTGTTTGAATTTCTTACAAAATGACAAAATTCGAAAGCTGATACTTTGTTTCATACCTAAAGTAACCTAAGTCTTGTCTGTCGGTACATTGTTAGTGTCCTCTTTGCTTCATGATGTATTTTTCACTGCGTGATGATATATGGCTTGTCGGTCATAGCAACAGTAAATAACAGGGGTAGGTCTTAGCGAAGGGTCAATTGGATTTGAAAAATAAACTTGTATTCAAGATCTATTCTCTGAATACATGTCTTAATATCTAACTCAGTTTTGTTTTGAGAGTAAATTCTTTTAACTCAAAGATAGATATTTTACGAAATTCACAAATGTACACATTAAATGTATAAACTGTCACTGCGTGATGATATATGGCTTGTCGGTCATAGCAACAGTAAATAACAGGGGTAGGTCTTAGCGAAGGGTCAATTGGATTTGAAAAATAAACTTGTATTCAAGATCTATTCTCTGAATACATGTCTTAATATCTAACGCAGTTTTGTTTTGAGAGTAAATTCTTTTAACTCAAAGATAGATATTTTACGAAATTCACAAATGTACACATTAAATGTATAAACTGTTTTTTTTTTTTGCTGTTTGTGTGCTTTGTATGATATGTTTACAAATTTTATGCTGCACCAATAATCACCCTTTGGGCTTATAATAAACTTTGAACCTCGAACCTTAAAGGGGACATCGGATGCCCATTTTCCAAAAGTTGGTATGATTCTTTAGGGTCTTCATGAACTGTCTGCAACACACTTTGGTTAAAATTCCTCAGTGGTCGTATAAAACAATACCCTTTTTACCTTGTCAAAACAGCTCTGTACACAGCGACCCATTTCGGTGCATGTCTCTTTAAATGCTAATTGAGCTCTGCTCACCCCCGCCCCTCTCTTCCGTGGAAGAGGAAAAGCGATTTGCAAATAATCATAACAAAATATAAAGTGTGAGACCTACTTCTTCTGGAGGTGCAGCTGGATCACGAACAAAGCAAAACCTGCCTTGAATCGTCCCTCGTTCGGAAAGCAGTCTGCGGTAAAATGATTCGCGCAGACATAAACGCATTCCCTTCAAAAGCAAAAGTAATCCACTGCGTCTTTAGCGGTTCAGATGTCGGGAGTAAATGATGACTGCTATGTTCATTCTTACATACAACAACAAAACACCTCAATTGCTTGGGAGACATTCATGTCTACACCTGCTCTGGTGTCGAAACAATGGTGGACTGTTTACAGCTCACTCAGGGAGGGTCTATGCTAAAACAGCAGTGTCCGTCAACATTCGTGGGAGGGGCCTGTGACTTTTTTTCCCCTTCTCATATAAATTGTTTTAAGGATGCTTGGATGTTTTCAAGGTTTTAATTGGGCGTGAAAAAGACTTCAAGGTATATTCTCTGAATATAGTCTTAATATGCAGTTTTTTTCCTAAAGTGAATTATTCTTGTTTTAAAAATGTTTAGATAATTTTACTGGAAAATGAGACAAAAATACTAATTAAAAAAATTATATTTGCTGTGGTTGTAAAGTCGTTTAATTTTTGCTATGCTAGGAAGTAACATTGTGACAATATCATTATGACAGATTTATTTCCATTTCCTCTGCCGCGAAACACTATTTTTGGTCGTTTCATTCTTTGAAGCAAATTAATGAGTTTTTGGCACTGTGTATCTCTGAGTGATGCAGTGTTGATGTAATGATTGTTATGAGAAAATAAAAGATCAGCAGAAGAACAAATCCATTTTAAATTAAATTACTCTTTTAATGTCCTAAAGATGTTCATTAAATCACAAGATGGGTGTTTTAATTATAAATAGGAGCCTTGTCTTTTGGAGATATCTGTGAAAAGACAAAAGTCCTCAAGCTGAACAACTTTTGGATATAAAATGTGACCGTCCTCTGTCTTCAGTGTAGCTGTTGCATAAATTGGTACAATCTCTTGTTGGCAAATTTCTACAAAGCCAATTGCTCAAAAGGTTCTTACTTCTGTGTTTGATGGTTTAGATGGTCATGAATAATGCTTCTGCAGCCTATTATTGAATTTTAACTCTTACTCTCTTTCAGATAAAGTATTTTTCTTTGCACAGAAACCTCAACAGTATTTTCTCCTTGTTCAGTATCTGTCATTTTGTGTTTTTCAGTCTGTGAGTGAGGCCTGAGTAAGGAGTGAATCAGCGCTGCTTTTGACTGACGGACAGCTTGGTGGGAAACAAGGCCTCAGGAGAGCGAGAGTCTGATAACAGGAGTGAAAGCGTCGCCACAGCAATATCATCTTTCAGTCTTCACTGCCACTCGTCTTTCACAACATGGCCTCTGCGGTAGCACCGTTCTCCTCTGTCGCTGCCTCTTTGGGGATGTAGAAAGACACGGGACACATGGAAACATTCCTGCATACTGCTACAGAGGAAAGCTTTGGATGTGTCTTCAGACTTTAAAGTCCCTAACAGATGGACAAACTGTGTTAAGCGTCAGTACTGTCATCATTACAACTACTGTTTCCTGGTTTGGGAATTGTTTTAGTGTTTCAAAGGGACTCGTAGGACAATGGAAGTTATAGGAAGGTGCTGTCTCTGATTTTATATGTTCCTGTGTAACATCGAAGGCCAATGCGTGTGGCTCGAGAGCCCATCATGGCCAGACCACTGCTGAAGATCCACCGCTATTTCCGGTGTAAACCGGTACACTTTTTCTCTTTCATCCTCCTCTACCTCACTGCTGGCAGTCTTGTTTTCCTCCACTCCGGCTTCTCCAGCGACACTTCCACCACTGGAGCTTCTAGAAGTGTCCGTGACCCACTTATATCTGAAGGTGGGGGCGGCGCAGGTGGTGGGAGCTCTACCTCTGATGGTCTCGGGCTCCTAGGAAGGGTATTTAAGGAGACACGGAGAGCCCCCCAGAGATTTGGACCCCCGTGGATGAAGAAAAATAGGGCACAGGATGTACCGGAGTGGGCCGGAAGAGGAGTTGATCATCATACCAGGAGCCATGGAGCCAAAGGAAAAACCACCAAAGGGATGGATGATGGGAGAGGTAGGAACAGTTCCATTACCATTTCACCAAGATTTAACGTCTGTTTCGACTTACATTTACGTTTATGCATTTAGCAGACCCTTTTATCCAAAGCGACTTACAGTGCATTCAGGCTGTACATTTTTTTTACCAGTATGTTTTTTACCAGACTTCTGTCTTAGACCATCTTGACCAGTTATAGTCATAGAAAATGCTCTTATTAACCAAAAGTTATTGGCCTATTGACCAAACCAGTAGCATTGAATAAATTTCCATTCCAATCCAACCTGATTAATACTACACTGCAAATATATATATATATATATATATATATATTTACATTTACATTTAGTCATTTAGCAGATGCTTTTATCCAAAGCAACTTACAAATGAGGACAACAGAAGCAATCAAAACCAACAAAAGAGCAACAATATGTAAGTGCAAATGACAAGTCTCGGTTAGCCTAACGCAGTACAAGGTGATTACACACAGAATTTTCTTGATCATTATTTTTGTCTTTTGTTTCCAGTAAAAAAAAAAACTGAATGTCTTAAAAACAAGATACACTCATTTGAGAAGGAAAATTACATTTCAGGTCTTGTTTTAGAGAAATCTACCAAATTTATTAAGGTTTATGCTAAAAGCAGTAAAACAAATTTTAGCATAAAATGACCATATTTTATCGTTTTAAACATTCACCTCACAAAAATGGTTAGATTTGTCAGAAGACATCAAATCTTGTCAATTTGTAAAATAAAATCAGGCAAAATATCTTAAATGCATCCCGTTTAAAGTATGTTTAGATATTTACCCTTGAAAATATGACAGAAATACTGATTTAAAAAAAAAAAGTTTGTATATTGTTTATTTAATTATTTGTTTATTTTGGGGGGTGGGGATATAAGATAACGTTCACCAGCCATTTTCCTGGTGAAGCTAGTTGACAAGAACAGTATATCTGATGAAGCTGATTGACCAAGGAGGTCTGTCTGGTTAAGCGTTTAAAACACTGCTGTTAGTGTTTGTCTTTTCAGCTTGGTATGCACAGAGGATTGTGCTTATTTAACAGAATACAGAATACTTGCATGTTCTCGCACTGACATGGCACATGTGGTTTATGTGTGTTTAAAAAATATATTAATGTTGCACTTCTGTAATGACGCACAGTTCTCTAATGATTGCAACCTCAGACACTCAGACAAAGACTCTTAAAGGGGTCATATGATGTTGCTAAAAAGGACATTAATTTGTGTATTTGGTGTAATGAAATGTGTTTGGGGTTTAAGGTTCAAAAAACACATTATTGTCCACATACTGTACATTATTGTTTCTCCTTTATGCCCTGCCTTTCTGAAACGCGTCGATTTTTACCAAGCTCATCAGTCTGAAATGCGAGGTGTGCTGTGATTGGCCAGCTATCCAGTGCGTTGTGATTGGCCGAATACCTCAAGCGTGTGACGGAAATGTTACGCCCCTTACCATACTGTGATGCCCTGTACAAGGCATTTGTTGCATCCAGTGGGGACATAATTACGGATTATAATGACTTGTACTGTCTTTTTTACGCGTTGCGTTGCATCGCGCCGTGTAAACATAAAACCATTTGCTGCATTTGTGATCGGAGAAACAGACAAACAACAAGCACTACTCTACACTGCTCAATACTCGCGTTTGAATTATCAGTGGCAAATCCTTTAAATATGAAAACGTACTTACAGTCTGTGAGTCAGAACAGCCGGCATTGTAGTCTACTCTTCCAGGATCAGGAAACAGTCCTCCGTAACATGTGCTGCACACATCTTAATATTTGGGTTGAAGTGTTCTGGAACAGTGTTGTAAATACAACTTAACCACTGATTTGTAGTCGTGTCCTCTTTTGGAAGACCAAACGAAGTAGTTTCGCTTTCACAACGAAACACACAGCGTTTTCACGTCATGGCGGCAACAACAATACTACAGCGAGAATAAAAGTTATGCCTTCTTTCTTTGCGTGAACATTTGGGCGGCATTATGCAAATCTTCCCATATCGTGACGTAGACATGTGGGGGCGTGTTAGAACGAGCTGTTTTAGGTAGGCGTGGTTGACTCTTAACTTTTATAAGGAATATCTCTTTGGATTTGAGACTTTAGTCTTTACAGATCTTCTTTATGCACCAAGAACTTGTAACACTCCAAAGAGAAAGGAAAAATTGATATCGCATCATATGACCCCTTTAATATAGTGTCTTAAAGGAGGAACTTTGTGATTATAGAAATGCTATGAATGTTCCAATTGCCCAGTAGGAAAACCGGTCATCCTAGGTGAGGCTCCATATATGCCGTATATGTTTAATTTGAAGAGTACTGCGAACAGCACAAGGAATAAGTGCATATACAGTATCAATATATCACTTCACTGGAGAGTTAAATTTACCTGATAGTCACTGCATATATAAAACATGGATTTATAACATCCTATATGGTGTATGTATAGAATTATGTAAATTTACATGATATCATCATATTCAAACATAATCCGTGTGACTCAAGTGCTGCAGGACATCCCTCATTTTTGTCAGGTGAAGTGCACTGGGTGTTGAGTATACAGTAAACACTGTGTGCCCTGTGAAGCATAATGTGGCTATTAATTAAAATGAGCTGATTGAGCCGTCGAGATCAGAAGAGAATGATTTAGCATGTCAGTGGTCAGTTGTCGCAGACAGCCATCATGGTATTAAGGCTGTAGTTGAAGCTCAGTGGAGGATGGCAAAGCACCTGTGTCTTTAAAGCTTTAAGCTGGAGGAATGAAGTGCCCTTTTGGTGACTGTTTAATTAAGTAAATAATGAATGTGTGTCTGTGTTTTTTCCCCTAGTGATTGTAGAGTTGCACATTTGAGAGCTGTTGTTAGTTCATAGCCTTCAGTTGATGTTTCATAGCTCCTAAATGTCTTGTTGCTGAGCAGTAGGCACAAAAATAGTCTTAAAATCAGGAAATGTATGATATTTCATTTTTGTTTAATTAACAGAATAAGCAGTATAGAAAAATAACCTTGATGCTTTTAATAAAACCTCACTTGAATGATCAAAGTGAAAGCATTTATGGGTTACTTATGGGTAAGTCTTGTGGAGCTGGAAAAATATGACTTTCTCAAATCCCCAATTTTCCTGTACATAAACATAAAGTCAGTTCATTAATCTTTGAAATAAAAGCTTCTTCTTTGAGGTGATCCCATTAAATATACATGATGTGACCTGTATCATATTTGGTCCTCTATGAAAGCATGTTTGAGGGTGTTTGGTGAAGGTCTTGGATGTACGAAGCAGAAATATGACTTTTTTTCATGTGCAATCCTTTTTTAGGTGCAAGTTACAAGTGAACTTTAAACCACAAGAAACAGCGTGATAGAATTGGCAATGTGGGCCCCTGCAAAATTAAAGCATTTTTCTCTGTGAAAGATGGACTGTATCCACAAGTCTCACCACAGTGCCCTGTGCTAACTCATTATTGCTCACACAGAAACCCACAAAAAGGCAAAAGAAAGCCAATTAGTGGTTTGTCTGAGTCTCAGGTCATTGCCTTTATCCATAGTGAAGTTTAAGAGGTTTGAACAGATGGTTCTCACGTGTAACCCTCAGGGCCTCTAATAAAAAAACTGCACTCTTCCCTTTTGACAGTCATATGTGGTATGACTTTAGCAATCAACTTCTGATAAAGAGGAAGCCACTGTGTAAAAATGGTATCTTCATGATTGTAAAGACACAATTAATCTTCAAGGAAGTCAAGGACAGGAACATGTTTTCAGACACCCAACATCCTTTTCTGTACTCTACAATATCAACAGCAGCAGACAGGCTGACAGTACAGAGGTGGAAATGCATGACTGTCGCTCTCTATTACGTTGCGAGTTTACAGAGTAGTGTTTTTAAGTACAAGTGGTACGTGTGGAAGTGCAATCCTTTTTTAATTTCGTAATCTAATGTATTTTTGGGTGAAACAGGATATCAAATGAGGAGAAATAAAGCGGAATTGATTTAACAGAACTAATGATATAATAATTGCAGAGAAAGTTGTATTTGTGTAATATTTCTATAATAGATTTAAATATAATTATTATATTTAGATTTTTAAAATAACATGTACCATTGAATCATGAAGATCATGGACATGTATTAAAGAATAAGGGGGTAAATTTTGAGGTCATGTTGACAGACAATGTTCCTTTTTTCTCTTCCATGTGCTGTCCCTGTCTCCACTCTGCCTCCCTCAGGACACTTTTAGAACTTTTACAATGTACATGTCTGTCATAGTAGTAATAATATTAATTGTTATTATTATATATAATGTAATGGACAAATATCAGACACACAAAAGACCTATCTTTTTTACATTAAATATGATATATTAAAGTTTTTTTTATATATTTACAAGTGGTACGTGTGGAAGTGCAATCCTTTTTTAATTTCGTAATCTAATGTATTTTTGGGTGAAACAGGATATCAAATGAGGAGAAATAAAGCGGAATTGATTTAACAGAACTAATGATATAATAATTGCAGAGAAAGTTGTATTTGTGTAATATTTCTATAATAGATTTAAATATAATTATTATATTTAGATTTTTAAAATAACATGTACCATTGAATCATGAAGATCATGGACATGTATTAAAGAATAAGGGGGTAAATTTTGAGGTCATGTTGACAGACAATGTTCCTTTTTTCTCTTCCATGTGCTGTCCCTGTCTCCACTCTGCCTCCCTCAGGACACTTTTAGAACTTTTACAATGTTCATGTCTGTCATAGTAGTAATAATATTAATTGTTATTATTATATATAATGTAATGGACAAATATCAGACACACAAAAGACCTATCTTTTTTACATTAAATATGATATATTAAAGTTTTTTTTATATATGTACAAAGTTAGCATTCTGGTTAACAAAATAAAATATAGAGGCACATTTTATCTTAAAATGATAATTTTATGTAATTTTGTGATATTGAGATTTATTGTTAGCTGAAACTATTATAATTCATC